TTGACGGGTGCTCGCGTTCGCAGCCGGTATTCTCGCTTAACTGAAATGCCAGAAAGGAATCCGCCGGTTGAACGCAAACACTCGCTGCGCGTGTTTACTCTGTCGGAACAATTTTCTCGCTTCCGGCGCGGCCACGGAAATGCCCTGGCTCACGCCCGGATATTGATAATGAGCCGCTTCTCCCTTCCACTCTCTTTCACTTGCCCTCGCTTTTTCTCATTCTCCCTCGAAACTTGCGAAATGTCGTTTCGAAAGCTTTTTCCAGAGATGCGAAGCTCGTAGGAAGATTTCAGTGGTATAGCTCGATGCTTGATCGGACACAAGCCTCTTGCAGTTCCACTGGAGAATTCTTTTCAAATTTATTCACCTATTTTCTCTGGCACGTTTACACAATTAAGTCTTTGTATATTTTTTAGTAATTCGCGTCGCGAATTAACGGAGGATTCAAAGTTGTAGAACAAACTAGTCGCGTGAAACCACTTGCGAGCAGAGTTAGAATTGAACCGGTGATTAGGAAAGCCGTGTGGAGCAAGGGGTGCGATGAAATCAACCGGGAAACTCGAGTTCCCGTTGTTGTCGTCTCATAACATCGATCCGCGTTGCGTCGCAGCCCCATTCGGAGTGTTAGGTACCTCGGGGCCCCTGGTTTCGGTCGGTTCATAGGAGTTTACCTGGGATAGGGGCCGCGATAGTGACTACGACAGAGTGCGATGCATACAAGTGTATCTATACGAGGTTTGGAAATTTTTCCCCCGGTGCGAGGATTCGAAAGACAATTGAGCCTCCAAGTTTAGACTGAAGCTAGGTAGGAAAGTGATAGAGGATAGGCGAAAAGGAAAGGTGTCCGGCGTTTCGTCTTGGGCCTCCTAGTGCACTCGTCAGTAAGGCTTTCTAGGAGACCCGTGCTTTAGATGCGGAAGGGACTGGAAGGACTCAGGTCAGGTGGCAGAGCGTCGGAGGATCGCTACAAGACAATTGCCTTCTTGGGGCATAGAAAGACACACGGGCATCCTCGAGCGACGCGTCCGGCTCTTACCCGATTTATCGCACCAAACCCGGGCGGCCCTTTGCTATAATTGTCCGGAGGAATTTCGGTAAAGGTTTGGCTATCGTAGGATTTCTATGGTTTTCCGAAGATAGGAGAGGTTCGCCAGACTCTGTTGGTTACGGACGTAACAGGAGATAGTTCTCCCGGCGTATTAGTCGGGCAGGGGGGAAAGGGGTGTCGGAGCAGTCAATTGTCCTTTGTGAACGCGATATCTAGCAAGTTGCCGCGTAAACCGACGCAAGTTTCGCGAGATTCTCGCCCCCGCGTGGAACGATGCACAGTTTCGTGAACGATCTCCGGAAAGAAATTGGAATCTTTCGCATTCACCCAACACTTGATACCTTACTCGGGGAATCGTCGAAAGTTTTCCTGTTGCAACCACGTGTTCCCGGTTGCAGCGGGGAGATTTGTAGAGAAAAAAAGAGTACGAAGATTCTCGATAAGGGAAAGTTATTCTTTGACGAAAGTTTCGCCGAGAAGCAACGAGGCGAGCGAAAGAGAACGTTGAACGGAGGAAAATAAAAGTGTCCCAAGGTTACTTTTCGACCAATTATTTTTAAGAAACGATCGCGAAACGGTTGGAACAACTTGCTCGTTGAATACAGACTTTCTCTGCTCCTTGTTGCTTCCCTCTTGTAGAAACTGTATCGACTTTGAAAGGAGATTCAGGGAAAAAAGGAAAGAACACTCGAGCCTCGCTCGCGCCGTGTCGGGTGTGTTGATGAATTTCCATCCGGAGGGTAAGATATTCACGAGCGAAGGGAAGCAAAGCGTCGAAGTAAATAGAGAGAGTTTCCACGTGGAAAGTTGCGGCGGGTGATTTGAAAAGCGGTGGACTCTGCTCCCGATTTCCCAGACGACGAGATTTCACGTTCGAATTGCCAGCTTAATATTAACACCGCAGCTCTCTCGGTGTAACCGGTGGTGTGTAATTTACTCTTAAAGTTCGTCGCGTTCGAGGACTCTCGCGTTTCGTTAACATTTCGCTGGTTCGGTCGGGCCGCGGTTTCACCTCGATCTCCGGAGGGAAACGAACCTTCCCTTAAACATCGAGGTTGGCGAAAGAGGCAGGCCGGAAGGATCGGCCGAGAATGAATTATCAAAATTTCCGCAACACGTGCCGCATAAAACTAATCATCCTCCCTGTCTGTTCTCCGGTCCTCGGGACGTCTAGAGTTACCAAGTGGACAATGATTTATTCCCTCAGGGAATTTCCTTCCCTCAGCGCCGTGTCCTTCTCGAGATCTAAATTATAGAAATTCAGGTGAAAAGCGTTATCAACCCTTTGCACCTGACGAACGAAATTTATTCGATGATTTTTACGTGGGAGAAAAGCTCGAAGAAAGTAGAAGCTTTTCGATAACGCTGCGTGGCGATCGAAAAGATTCGACGTACTCGTAACGAAACGCCGAGGAGCACGGGGATTAATCTGGCAGATACTCGCGACCGCTGAAATGCGTCTACAGCGACGCGAGACAAAAGAACGCGGACTGGAAAAATAAAGCAAAGACACCTGACCTACATGAGAGCGGCGCGGTGCGGCGCGCGTAGGTGTAATCGCGAAGCGCCGCAACTTATTCCGCTCAGTCTCGTAGCTACCGACGGAATCGCGCATACCAACACTTTTTCCCCGTCTTTTCGAATATTTCCACCGTAGCTTGAAGCCTCGAAAATAGCTGGCTGGCTGGCCCGCTCTGCTCGCGAGTACCATTCAGACCCATAATTTATTCGCGTTCCACCCTCTTCTCTCCTCCACGTTGATAACCTATTAATCTGACATACCAGCGAAGCTCCTATTGCCCTACGAAGGGAAAAAATAGCGGGAACAGCTGGCGTTTAATTCGGCGGAAAGAAATTTCGAGAGTGGAAAAAGGACCGATTGCTCCTTTTCCCCCCGGTTGGAGAGAGCGGGAACGCGTTCGCTCGTTGTTTGTCCGCGGTGTGGAGCAAGCGTGGGACAACTTGCCGCGGAATCGCAATATCGAACGAGCAGTTGGTGGCTCGGGGGAGAATAATATTGAAATCACTGTGGTTCGCGCTTGCGAGCACGACGACTGGCGACGCTGGCGACGACGCCGTTCCTCGGCGTCGCAAGTAGGCCAGGCTCGAAATAGAAACCGTCAACTGGGGCAGTCAATGGCCAACGTACGATCGTCACGGCACGTTCGCGATGTTTTCTTACTCCGTCGACTTCTTCGTTCTCTTCTTTTTCTACGGCGTGTCCGTAAAGTCGTGACACTGCGACAAGACACCGCGGAGACAGGAAAGAGAGCAACCCTCCAAGTTCTTACGGAACGAAGAGTGTGCTAGTTGGAAAATAAATGTGCCATACACCGTATCGTGTGATTGCTCTCTACGGTACTCTGAAACGGTACCGTGACTTTACAGACACAGCGTGTAGGGTACTTTCCTTTTTCCCGAATGTCTCGCGATGCCAAACGCAGGGCCAGTAGAATAGCCCCGTTTCGTGCCAGACACGAGTCTTCCGCCGTTTCTACGTCCGATTTCTCGATCCCCGGCGAGCGTGGTTCGAACCGTCTGTTGGGATCGAAACGAGAGCGATCAGGTTGGTCGAGCATTGGCAATTTTCCATCGGGTGTTTCGTCGACGGTACCGTGAAGAATATCGAAATGCACTCTCGAACGAGGAAATTCGATAGTTCGCGTACCATATCTAGGTAAACATGTAGCAGTTGACGCGTCGATACGCACGACTACCACTGCTCGTTTTAATACACGCGTCTGCACTGGCCATTTTAATACACGCGCTTTACGATGCTCACTTCGATACACGTGCTTCCACCACCGGTGTTTCACTATCATCCGGCCGCGGTAACGAGCCTTCTCGTTCTCACGCGAAACTTGCACGGAACCGATCGAGGCAGATCGGAGCGCCGATTCTTCCTTATCGGTGCTCCGTGAAGATACCGATCCATTACCCGCATGCCTCTGTGTACGTAGCTGTAGCACCCTCTTTCTGTGTGCCAGGACTTTACGTACCTCTCTCTCCGTAAGACCGTTGATCCTCGATAACGAAACTATTCCAGCGAAATAGCACTAGCGATCGAGCGTTTTTAAAGGCGCGCGATCTTCGAACACTATCTACGTAGAATAGACGATCTATCGGCTGTGTTTGCATGGCACGTATCGCATAAAACTATCATGCTACCCACCCATTTTCCAGCAGCAGCAACAGCAACAGCAGCAGCAGCACAGCAGCAACGCCTCTCTCTCTCTCTCTCTATCTGTCTCTCTCTCTCTCTCTCTTTCTCTCTCTATCCACGCACGTGTACTATATGCCTGGGGATTACTTTTTCATCGGCACGCGACGAATTCCTTTGTTTGCCGTTAGAGGCTTGCATGGAAAATGAGAGTTGTCGGGGGACCGGGGCGAGCGTAAGGAGCACGAAGATTTAAGAGGATTCCTCTTTCCCGACGCGTCGAATTAAAAGGGGAAGGAGAGAGGAGGAGCTCGTTACGCTCGGCCGTTCGCGCTGAGAGATGTTGGCCTCTGTTAGGGCGAGCAATTTCGCGGCCGTAGATCGTTTCCGCTCTTCACACACACACGCTGCATCCTTCTCTGTCTCTCGTCATTTGTCATTTCATTAGCTGGCAGCTGGTGCGAGCTGGTCTGGACTCGTGATCTTTTTCACTATGATTCGCGGTAGTAACGTAAGTCGATGATTTAGTTTTAGTCGTAGCTTCGAACGAACCAGTCAACAACCACCGGGTTTCTTTTCTTTTTTTCTTCTCTCTCTCTCTCTCTCTCTCTCTCTCTCTCTCTCTTTCGTTCTTACGTCGATTCTGGCGAACGCGTCGAGGAAATATTTGACAAGTCCAGCCACGTGGTGACGGAAATCGAGCGTCCAGCGTATCCTGAAGAAAGTCTCGCACCAGTATGTACGCGTTCATGGCGATCCCTCGTTTATGTTGCGTGTTGGTGTTGGTGCAAGGGGCAGGAGATACCGATATACATATGGTACGAGTCGTATCCGACCCACAGTGGCGAGGGTTACGAAGGTCGAGTCTCGAGGGTGAGCCCGAATTCACCGTACGGCGTGGCGAGCCTCAACCTGACCGACATCCGCGAGAGCGATCAAGGATGGTACGAGTGCAAGGTCGTCTTCCTCAACAGGTCACCTAACGGCCACAAGAACGGTACCTGGTTCCACCTGGACGTCCACGGTGAGTACCTTTCATTTGCCAACGATCACGCTACACTATCGCCTTCATTCGTCGTCATCGATGATCACGATCATTCGTCCTTCTTTTATTGTATTTTATTTAAACAGGATGTAGTACGTATATGCTATTTTGTCCTTAAAAAATTAAACTACCAATTCAAACTTGGGTTTACTCGATTTTCTTTTCTTTTGTTTCTTCTTTCTCTTCGTTTCGATCACTGTATACTATATACTATGTGTATGACACGTGCCTGTATATCGACACGAAGACAAAAGAAAACGACGGTTCAACGACGAGAAGTGGAAGCCGTACACACACCTGCTAGCGAGCATTAGAATATGTGTCTAGTCGGCAGTTAATCCTACGATCGGTTTCTATCAATTGTGAACATTCTGCACGAACGGATCAGCTTAATCGCGCGTCTCACGATCGGTCGGCACCTCGACGTCGGTATATCCTAGCGACGCCATTTTGGGGGGAGATCCGCTCAAGAAGAGAAGTTTGGTTTTTGGTGAAAAACTCGATTACGCGGTATCGATTAGAAAAGACTCAACTCGCGAAATGCAATTTAAGTCGAAAGTTCCATCTGAGTTGGGGCGAAGTTACATCGATTCTACCTCGAAGCAGTCTCGTTAATATTACCCCGAGCTTAAGAAGATTTTACGACCGCGACGAGTACTGTACTTCCGCGCTGAGAAGAGAAAAGTTGGACGAGTCCTCCCGTCAGTCGTCTCGCCTCGTCTATCCAAAAGGGCTCGCGAATTTTATACCTTCGAGAGAACGGTGCCGATTCGCATCTTAGCGTTCCTCCATCGCGGAATAAAAGGTAAAGCAGAGAGAGAGAGAGAGTGGGAGAAAGAGAGATAGGAGAGAAAATCCGGTAAGCGTCACTGATAAAAAAAAGGAAACAAGGAAATAAAAAGGAAGGCAGAGAAAAAAAAAAAAAAAAGGAAAGAAAGAAAAGCAGCGTCGTTCCACGGGAATTCAATTCAATTCTTTCGTCGAGCGACGCGATAAAGTTTTACGTGTTACGTCAGCGTTGTCGACGACGACGACGACGACGACGACGAACGGCGACGACGACGGGGTCATTGAACCGAGCTATAGGAACAGAGGAGAACAGGAAAAATGGTTGCGAGGAGAAAGGAAAACTTATTGCCGCGTTTTGTTCGCCCATAAACGACGACGACGAACGGCCGCGGGGAAGAGAAACATTTAGATGGCTTAGGAAACGTTGCGTTCTCCTCTCCTCTCCTCTCTCGCTCCCCCTTTCTCTCGTCACGCCTCAACCGGTGTTTTCTCGTTCACCATTTTCTACCGGTTCGCCCTTCCCCACGCCGTTTCTCTCCGTTTCTCTCGGTTCGAGCCCACGGGCACACTCGACCACGTGACAACGACGAGGAGAAGGATGACGACTACGTCATGGTAGGGCGTTTGCAACGACTAAGGCTTCGCCAGCGGCGTCACAGAGAGAGGAGAACACCACTCGGCCAGCGAAAGTGCTCGGAGTCTCTTTGTACTTTTCGAGTCGTCTCTCTGTCCGGTCGTTTACTCGCGTTACACTCTTAAACTATTGCCCCTTCCCTTCTTTCTTTTTTTCTTCTCCTTCCGTTCCTACGTCCCAGCCTTCGGCCTTCTCCTCCTTCCGTTCTCCTTCCTCGCGGTGTTTTCTCGCGACGTACACCATCGGCTACAAGTATCCGCCCCACCATGTGTCCTTTATTCTTCTCAGGAATTTTATTTCAGGGAACGAGTGGTGGATTTGATGGTGAACGAAACGAAAAGCTGCACTAAAAGTTTAGGTTCGTTGTCTCTGTTGAGGTGGTCGTGCAACGAACGAGGAAACTGGTAAATTTGTTAAATAGAAAGGAGACATTTTTGGACGGTAGTGCATGTGACAGAAGTAATATCCTTAGACTGCTACGATATCGAGGATAAATAATGGAACAGAGGGGAACATACGGAACACGATCGAAGTGAACACGGTCGCAATCGACCGTCGGTCGATTCTTCGAGGACAAAGCGAGCTGAAGAACGATCGAAGAGAGAGAGAGGAAGAGGGTGGGAGAGAGAGAGAGAGAGCTCGTTGACGATATTCCAGTGAATTTTCCTGTCATCTCCCGTGGCGGATTTGCTCGGTGACTCGGCTGCTCTCTTCCCTCTTTCATTGTTCCCCGGACTCGAGCGAGCGTCTCTCTGTTCCATGGAACACACGGCCTCGAGGAGAGGAGCGCGCTTTACACGAACGGCGAAAATGGACGATCCTTTGTGCGACGCGGCGGTCGTCGAAGTCGTTGAGGGGCTCGTCCCGTGATTCTCCTCCTGGATGGAAACTCTCTCGTCGAAGATAAAAACGTCGAGAGGAGCGGCGCGGAAGCGTTTTCTAAATGTCCACGCGATTCGAGGGTTTGATTGTTCCCTTAATACCGTTTCCCACGGGGTAATACAACCGAGAATCGTGGTTTCTTCGTTCGACGACCCCGTATAAAAGTCACCCTTCGTCTTTCCGTTCTCTACTCTCTGTGCTCGAGAGGGCGTATCGATCAAACCTCCGACTGCAACTTTTTCCAACCGACGCACTCTTCTTCTTCCTACGTGTACTACCGGTGAACGATCTTGGACCTTGGTTTCTCCTACGTGTGTGCGTGTGTGCAAATTCCTCTTGCAATTCGACGAGAGAGAAAGAGAGCGAGAGAGAGAGAGAGAGAGAGAGTGTATACGGTGAGAAGAGGATAAAAACCCGGTTCGTCTGTTTCCGTAGCGCCACCGAAATTCAGCATAACGCCGGAGGAGATGATCTACGTGAACGTGGGCGACGCGATAATATTGAACTGCCAGGCGGAAGGGACGCCGACGCCGGAGATCCTTTGGTACAAGGACGCGAACCCGGTCGAGCCGTCGACCACCATAGGGATATTCAACGACGGCACAGAGCTAAGGATCTCGATGATCAAGAACGAGGACATCGGGGACTACACGTGCATCGCGCGGAACGGCGAGGGCCAGATCAGTCACACGGCTCGCGTTATTATCGCTGGTGAGTAAACCAATCGATAGAGTAACCCTGTAATGTGTCCCAACTGTGTAACAGCGTGCGTAGATGTGTACATCCGATGGGAGTAGTAGTTGTCTAGATTCGTCAGACACGCGATGGTTTCTCTTCTTGGCGAAGCTTTCCTCCTGTTGTAGCTACTTTCCCGGTGGTTATTCCATCTCGCTACTTACACTAATCTTTTTTTCTACCGACCTATATTTATTATTCGACGACAACAATAAACTGAATGACAATTGTACGACTCTTTTTCTCTAACCCTCTTCTCAAACAAGATTTCTATCTCACTGTCTCTACTTCTCACACTCTGCACGTTGCATTTATTTCTCTCCATGCTATCGTAGATTTACAGATTCTTTTCACCTGCCTCGGTAGCACTGTATCAAACACGTTCTATCGCTCGAATCAACTCTTATTCCCTTGCGGGTAGGAGGGGAGAGTATTTAACGGTGCAACTTCACTTTATCCACCTTTCGTTTGCAAGGATTTTTACTTTATTTCCTCCACGTTCTTCGAATTGCTTCCTCATTTACAAAAGCTTGTCTCTCTAGATTTAGCTACGATAGTTCAATCTGCTCTTTCGAACGTACGAACGTTGTATCGTACGAAGAGTGAACTAGTGTGTAACAACGAGACGATCGCGACGGGAAGGAAACAAGAGTTGCCTTCCCATTTTCACGATGAATTCACCGGACTTTATAGCCCCAGTGGCGCGAGGGTGGGGAAGAATTTTCCGCGTGCCAATAATTAATATACGCCGGATCGGTACGATAATTATCGGGGCGGCTTGTTATTAGAAGTTATCGGGGTATTTTCGGTAGACGGTAATCGATCGAGCGCCGATAATGAAATTCCGATAACCGCGGCGCCAGAAAATGCCCCGGCACACGACCGATCGGTTTTTGTTGCCGAATTCGCCGAAGGGCGAAGGGGGAAATCTGTTGGCCGATGCGTTCTCTCCATCGATCTAAGAATCTACTCGCAAGAGGTTCGTCCAACTTCCTACCGCGTTTTTACCCACCGATTTTATGGAAGTTCTTAAAGTCTCGTTCCAGCGAATCGCCCCCGATGGTAACGTTCAAACGTCCCCCCGGTAACGCTGTAACTTTTACGCCGCTTTTAATCTCCGAACGTCTTCGTGGAACTCGTAAAATTGACCAGTCGAGCCGTTTCAACTTTCCCGCAACTTTCCTCGCTCCCCGAGCGACGCATATTTCAATTAACACGTTAAAGGAATTATGCTCGAACAGGTGTGCGAGAGTTTACGAGAAAGACTTGTGGTTAAATCCAGGCGAAGGATCCTACCGTTTCGGAAAGTTTCCATCGATTTCTCGCAACGTCGAACCTTCTATTCGTTCCCGAATGGTACAGCCGGTGGAAAATTATAGAACCTACTATACTCGGTGTAACTTGTTCCCACGAAAACAACATTAGCCTTTCCGTCTTCTTTCTCGACTCTGAACGAATTGCCGGTGGCAAGCTCGTAAAGCTCGAAGGAACCGATGCGTTGGCCCAGGTATCGGTCGCGCGCGATAAAATTCGCGTTAAGGGTGCCACTTCCGGAGGGACGAGTTAAAAGGCGATTTGTCTCGCGTTCCCCTCTTTCTCCCCCTTCGGATCTGGTTTTCCAGCGGTACCGCAGATTTGTAAGCTGCGTTCGACATTCGTCTTCATCATCGCGTTCCTACCATTCCCCTTCGTGGCTTTCCCCCCCGGTTAACGACCGGTCGATTTAATACGCCGACCTATGGATCGCTTTTCTCCATCGACGTGCGCCGTCATTTCTCTTCATATACGCTTCGTTTTTCCTCTTTTTCTTCAAATGTTCTGCCACGTGTGCGTGTTAGAAGGGAGGAACGTAGGATCGATTTACAGACTGCGATTTGGAATGGAAAGACGGTCCGCGAACGTCTGAAAAATCCGAACGAGAGTCGCGATGCCGCTTCTGCCGGAGATTTATAGTGGCGAAGGAAAGTCCGTGGAAAGTTTCGGGCTAATAAACCGTGGCATCTCCTCGCTCGAGAGTTCCGGCGTGCAGTCACGGCCGAGCCGTGGGTGCAAAGTAGACGGCTCTCATACTCCGCGTATAAAACACCGCCGACAGACTGCGCCATTAATGCGGAGGATCCTCGAGTCGGTGAGCCCGGCCGAACTTGCTCCTCTCGTCGGCGTGAAACTTTTGAATCTGCTCTTTGAATATTTACCGAGCTTCCTACTCCGAAATTCATCCCCGTCGCCGTGTGCCGAGTCTATCTCGCCCTTTCCTCCCGGAGAAATTGACGAAAATTCGATTGCATTCGCGTTCCCCGTCTCGCGTCGCAATTTTTCCTTCCCTTCGATTTGTCTTACGGAATGAGTATCGTCGAGTGTACTCTACTAACGAATATTCGTAGCAATCTTCGAAGATTGTTCAGTCGAACGTGCGTGAAAAGTTGCACTTTGGCAATCGGCAAATAAGATAGTCGCTACAGTATCAATCACCGTGAACTTTCTATCCGTCCGTGGACGTCCCAGGAGTCTGAAATTCATTGGTCTCGCGGGCGAAAAGTTTGAAATCCGGCTCGTGAATATTTATCGAGCATCCGCCTCCTAAATTCATCGCGTTGTCATCCGCGAGGCTCGCCGCGCCGGGGCAGGCACGCGCAAACGGATTCCGCTGAATTTCATCCTGTCCCGTTTGTCAGCGGTGTGTGTCGCTTTGTCCGCGGAGTTAACTTGCCGCGTTTTCGCAGTCGTGGAATCCACGGCACGCCCGCCCCGTTCACACTCGCGGTTGCTTTCGTTATGTTCCGCTTGAACCAAAGAAGAACGATTAATTTTCCTTTAACTTTGCGTGTATACCGTTGCAAAGTTGAGAAACACCGAAAAGCGATCGGCTGGCTGTTCCCACGGAGGTGTAGGAGCGAGCTTAATTCCTACCTAGGCGAAGATAGATCGGATTGCAGAAAATACTGCTGAATCCCGGGAAGAAGTTGGCTCTTTTGTCGTGCACGATCGATTTCCTCCCATTATACCTCGAGATATTCGGGTCGACGAATCGACGAAGGAACCGACTCCCGGGTCTCGGGTTTCCCTCCCTCGAAAGCCGCAACTTTTAAAATTCTTCAACGGGAGACCGCTTGGATATCTGTTGATCCTTTTTACCGAGACTCGGAGCGAGAAGTCGTCCTAATAAGTGGCGTCCTGCTCCAAATGCGGCCAACTTCTTCCTCCGTCTCCGTTCGAAACTCTCTCGAGACGATTGAAACTTCTCCGCGATACACAGGAGAATTTAGCGAAATGAAAAGTTTGTCGGAAATATGTGTATACGTGTTAGAGAGGGTGCGCAGCTTTTGCTCTCGCGAAACGACGTTCCTGAAATAACAGACGCGTCCATCATCGATCCGTCTATTCATCGTGCCAGCTAAATGGAGAATATCTATCTCCCTTTCCATTTGTTTATTTATCGACGTCGTCTCGTGGGCTGGTTTTCACGCCGATACGGGCAACCCAACGATGAAATCTCGTTTCGCGACACGCTTCCGCGAAGTTAAAAGCTTCTGCGACGGGCTCGTCGTTTCGGCCAGGATATTGGTTTGGTCGGCGTATTTCCGCTGCCAGACGTTCCCCTCGACCGCCCTTTTTTTTCTCTCTCTAGACGATCCGCAAAGATTGATACACTGATTATCCCATCTGAATAGCAAACATCTATCATACATGTACCGCTTCATATAATAAATCTTTCCTCGCCGATCTCTCCCTAATTCTTCGCACTGACCTGTTTCTCTCTCGATGTACAGGCGGTGCAGTGATCACCGTGCCACCGACCAACCAAACGAAACTCGAAGGCGAGAAGGTGCAGTTTAACTGCGAGGCTAAAGCTCTTCCCGGCAACGTGACCGTACGCTGGTTCCGCGAAGGTGCGCCGGTGACGGAGGTCTCAGCGTTGGACACGAGAGTGTCCATCAAGGCTGACGGTAGCCTGGTGATCAATCCTGTCAGCGCCGACGACTCTGGCCAGTATCTCTGCGAGGTCACGAACGGCATCGGTGATCCGCAAAGCGCCAGTGCTTATCTGAACGTAGAATGTGAGTGTCCCGCTCGAGTTTTACGAGTTTAGTACATAGACAGAGATGCGAGTTGAACACTCGACCGTTTCAGATCCGGCAAAGGTGACGTTCACCCCAACAGTCCAGTACCTGCCGTTCCGTTTGGCTGGCGTGGTCCAGTGTTACATAAAGGCGAACCCACCCCTTCAGTACGTGACCTGGACGAAAGACAAGCGGCTGCTCGAGCCTTATCAAACGAAGGACATCGTCGTGATGAACAATGGCTCTCTGTTGTTCACGCGGGTCAACGAGAATCATCAGGGACGGTACACGTGCACACCGTACAACACACACGGCACGCAGGGTAGTTCCGGCCCTATGGAGGTCCTCGTGAGAAATCCACCTGTGTTCACGCTGGAGCCGGAGCCGATCTATCAGAAGAAAGTTGGTGAGACCGTTGAGATGCACTGCGACGCTCAAGAGGCCGAGGGAACGCAAAAGCCTACGATACAGTGGCACAGGGTACGGTGATTAGGGCGCGTATTTTCGATTTACCCTTGGCAGCAGCAATTAACCGTGCAAATCGAGGGTTAGGTTCGCTTGCACCGCGCAATTAAAGTACCCGGCGACAGATAAAATTACGAATTCCGATCGTCCAATTAGAAGGTAATTAACGACAAATTAACGGTTTACACACGCGTACGCCGTTGGATCGATTTTCGGTCGCGTTTCGGTGTTCTCGGGCTAGGAATAAAAATTGGCAAAGCCGATTAACGAGCGATGATTCGAACGTTTCAATTTGGCGGCGCGGCGTCTCCGGCTCGTTAGCCGTTTAACGCTTCGCTCGTGTTTGCATCGTGATTTAATTGCGCAGAGGGACGGCGCGTCCATCCAACGCAACCGAGCCAAGATCGTCGGTGGCAATTTAACGATCGATAGCCTTCGACGCACGGACTTTGGATTCTATCAGTGCGTCGCGTCGAACGAGGTGGCCACCATTTCCGCCTCGACGCAGTTGATGGTGGAAGGTACTCAACCCCATGCGCCTTACAACGTGACTGGCACCGCGACCGAATTCTCCGTTACGTTGAGTTGGCTGCCCGGTTACTCTGGCGGGCCTGATTACAAGCAAGATTACACTATCTGGTGAGTTTACGCGGCGTATCTGTTCTATAGACACACGTCACAGGGATTCGGTACTTTGCGCGTGTCCCGTCTGAATTGCTCTGGAAATGGAGTGCAACGCGACACGCTTTCACGTTGCAATAACGTTACCGAGCGCAATTCTATCATCTCGACAAATATTACCGGATGTTTCAGGCACAGAGAATCAGGCACGTCGGAATGGAAGACGATTCCGGTGACTCCGTCTGGTAGTACAACGGTGACGATTAACAGACTAACGCCAGGTACACTGTACGAGTTCCAAGTGATAGGGAAGAACGCCCTGGGCGATGGGATGCTGAGCAAAATTATCACCGTCAGAACGCTCGGTAATAACCTTCATCCTTGATATTACTCGAACGATGTAACAAAATGACGTGCCGTAATCCCGAAAATATGTATCGACGAGTTCCAACGGAATCCTCGGTTTTGTCGCTTCCTCGAAATGACTAACACTACGTCTTTACCGATATTAACCAACTAACAAGCAGCTTCCCATGCAAACTGTTTCCTTCTTTTTTCCATCGCTTCGCCCTTGAAGACGTGGCACTGACGCACTCAGCGACTCCATCCTCGAGCGCCGGCCAAGCAGCGGCCACGGATCAAAGCGGTAAGATCGTTGATCGAATCATATTGTTACCTAACTAATTACTCGCGAGTAAGTCTGGTGGAAACAACAAGGACGATAAGCAGCAGCGGGAATAGCAGCCTCAGGGCTCAGGAATCAAAGGGACCATCTTGCATTTGAACGCGATCGACCATAAAACCCTGAAAACGAACGGGGGCTCTCGCTAACAAAGAAGATGCCTCGCGCGGAAGAAAGTTCCTCCTTCCCTCTGACTCACCGCAGGAGCGTCGGTCGTTGGTAGTAGCGATTCTGCGCGAGAATCTCAAAGTTGCGCTAAAACTTGCCACTCGAAAAGAGAAACAGAGTAAAGTAGGAGTGGCGATGGGGGGAAGGATGGAGGGACAGGGAGAAAGAGAAAAGGGGAAGGAAGAGACTTCCGTCGCGACTTATCGTATCGGAAAACCCATCGAGCCGTTCATTCTGTTTCCGCTTTTATTTCCTTCCCTCGAATCCGCCGGTTCATTGCCTTCCATTTCTACACGCGGTGCCTCGATTCTTCCTGCACGAGCTTGTACAGATATTTATCCAGGTCCCCGTTCCAAGGAGAGAGAACTCAGTCAATCCCCAATCCCCTTTCGTTCTATCAATGTACGCGCGGCGCGTATTCGCGTGTCCTCTTCCATCCTCGTAAATCTTTATTTCATACCTACATACTATACCTCTGCTGCGCACGGCCACGTAATCCCGTGAGGAAGCATGGCCGACCAGGTTTCCGCCATTTTTCCCGCATTTCCATATTAATAACGTGTCGGGATCAGAAATTCCCCGCTAATAATCCGCGAGCACCGTTTCATGGCCGAATATTTTCACGATACACAGCGATACACGGCAGCAGCAGCAGCAACCAGGCCACGTTACGTGTGTAAACTCCCTCCCTCGACCTTTCTTTCAGCCGCGCTTCAATTTCTGCCTTTTTCCACCCCCATCCGTCGCTGTCTACGCATCAGCGGTCTCGAAACTCGTTAGCCTGCCTCGAGTAACGCGATTACAGCCAGCTTAACGAGAATTCCGGTGGATCGGATTCGCGAGGATCTCCTCCGGCCCGGCTCCTCTCTCTCTCTCTCTCCTTCTCTCTGCGACCCATTATTACGGCACGACCAATCACCCCGTCTAGCCATCTCTCTCTCTCCGCTATGATTTCTCACGTTTGCCGTTTTCTTTTCTCTCGTTTCAGACATCTTAGATTATAATACTCTCGTATTACCGACCGATTCCACAGGCAATCCAGCGTTCCCGCCAATCATGCGCCCGAAAGGTATCTAATTTTCTTTTTTTTTTTCTTTCTTTCCTCTCTTCTGTTTCTTCATCGTCCTTAAGATAACTCTTTCTTCTTCTCCTTCTTTCACGTGTACTTTACGGTTTGTTTGAGTTGCGATTGTTTTATAGAGGGTATCTTTGCCCGTATTCGATACGAGATTTACTTTGATTTCTTCTAAAGTACCTTTAAATTGTAATCGATTTTATACAGCGCCTATTTACTTTGGTCTCCTCCGCGTTTTACTTCCAATCGATTACCCCTGCCTTTCTCCAAACTTTCAAACATCCCCGCCGTCGTAACGAAAGGGCACGGATACAACGGAGGGGAGAAAGGATTTCTCTGCACAGGACACGATTTTACAATTCAGAGCGGCGCGTAGTTCACGCGCGGACGTTTTCGACGATCGAGAACAAGGGTGCGACGTAGAAAGTCAATAAAGTCCGCAAGCGTCGCGAAAACACGTAATCTCGTTAGCAGGGAGCGTGCGGTCGGCCGCGAACTTGCCTTTTCACACTCGACGATCGGTTTTTCTCGCTGTTTGTTAACTCTGTTGTCCCGAGTCCCAGCGACCCGATTGTCTCGAGCGAGACGAGCAACTTCTCCAACCAGAACTCGACCGGCCATCCTCAATTTTTCTCTCCTCCATTCAACGACGATTCCTGAGAGCTGTTTGCTCTCCTTTCAACGCGCTCTTTCCGAACGATCCCTTGGATATTTTCAAAATTCGCCAAAAGTTGTCGGGAGAATAGGTGGGAATTCGTAAATGAAGAGAGAGAAAGAGAATGCAAGGAAGATGGACGTTTCGTATCGAAATACGTTCAATTTCAAGTTGATACTTGAGTGATACGATCGAAATGGGAACGGCTGAACAAAAACGCAAGGTACGCCTTTGCGGGGAGGAATTTCCATTCAGTCGACGCGAATTAATTGCAGCCACTCGCGGCCGTTACATTGGTAAAAAGCTTTTCGCGAATACAATAACCGCGTTTCAGTTACTCACGGTATTCCCGGGCGTCGCGGCGCCTCCATCGAGAACCCATTTATATTTTTGTGCTTGCACGGTTTAAAGGGGTTGAGAGAGAGTAACGTGTGTGCGCGTGCTTTCTGTACGTGTGTTTCCCCCCCGTTTGCACACATTTCCTAATGCACATATCGCAAATGGTGTAGGTACACGTGGGTGAGCGTGGCCGTGTGTGGTTGACAATTTATTCGGCGCAAGCCGTGCATGGGCGCGGAAATGAAGTTAACAAATAGGGACATTGTAAATACCGCAGAAACGATCGCAGAAATATCGGCCGCTTCAGCCAGGTGTATTTTTCCATCGTGAAAATTTATCGTATTGTGCCGGGGTATTGTTTAACGTTCGCAAATAATCGCGAATATTGCTGGGGAAATTTGATCGTGTAGAGAGAACAACGGCTTCCCGCTGCTCTCTCGATTGTGTTCCCTATGTGTGTGTGTCTGCCTTGTTTTTTCGCCCCCTCTCCGCGTGCATCTATCTACATTTTCCTTCACTTTGTTCCTTGTTTTTCAACTTTTTGTCCAACTCTTCTCAATCGACAAACGAAACGATGGCGGATAAATCTCGACTGGCCACGTAACGTAACGTTATCCCCATCGCAGATATTGACGCAACTTCTCGATGGAATCGGAGACGCGTGAGCTCATCTTCTTTCGTCACTACTTACATGTATAATGTTACGACCTAATTACTTCCGGCATTCATTCGTTAGCCTTACCAGCGGCCGTAATCCCAATTCTCGAGCCTCGTTGTTTCTCCCGTAACAGTGTACGTATGTATGTATGTCAACGACGATTCCTGAGAGCTGTTTGCTCTCCTTTCAACGCGCTCTTTCCGAACGATCCCTTGGATATTTTCAAAATTCGCCAAAAGTTGTCGGGAGAATAGGTGGGAATTCGTAAATGAAGAGAGAGAAAGAGAATGCAAGGAAGATGGACGTTTCGTATCGAAATACGTTCAATTTCAAGTTGATACTTGAGTGATACGATCGAAATGGGAACGGCTGAACAAAAACGCAAGGTACGCCTTTGCGGGGAGGAATTTCCATTCAGTCGACGCGAATTAATTGCAGCCACTCGCGGCCGTTACATTGGTAAAAAGCTTTTCGCGAATACAATAACCGCGTTTCAGTTACTCACGGTATTCCCGGGCGTCGCGGCGCCTCCATCGAGAACCCATTTATATTTTTGTGCTTGCACGGTTTAAAGGGGTTGAGAGAGAGTAACGTGTGTGCGCGTGCTTTCTGTACGTGTGTTTCCCCCCGGTTTGCACACATTTCCTAATGCACATATCGCAAATGGTGTAGGTACACGTGGGTGAGCGTGGCCGTGTGTGGTTGACAATTTATTCGGCGCAAGCCGTGCATGGGCGCGGAAATGAAGTTAACAAATAGGGACATTGTAAATACCGCAGAAACGATCGCAGAAATATCGGCCGCTTCAGCCAGGTGTATTTTTCCATCGTGAAAATTTATCGTATTGTGCCGGGGTATTGTTTAACGTTCGCAAATAATCGCGAATATTGCTGGGGAAATTTGATCGTGTAGAGAGAACAACGGCTTCCCGCTGCTCTCTCGATTGTGTTCCCTATGTGTGTGTGTCTGCCTTGTTTTTTCGCCCCCTCTCCGCGTGCATCTATCTACATTTTCCTTCACTTTGTTCCTTGTTTTTCAACTTTTTGTCCAACTCTTCTCAATCGACAAACGAAACGATGGCGGATAAATCTCGACTGGCCACGTAACGTAACGTTATCCCCATCGCAGATATTGACGCAACTTCTCGATGGAATCGGAGACGCGTGAGCTCATCTTCTTTCGTCACTACTTACATGTATAATGTTACGACCTAATTACTTCCGGCATTCATTCGTTAGCCTTACCAGCGGCCGTAATCCCAATTCTCGAGCCTCGTTGTTTCTCCCGTAACAGTGTACGTATGTATGTATGTAGCTGGAGTACCGAGTGAATGCACGACGGAGGTCCTTGAGATGGAAATTACTTAAACCGAGTGTCGTAGAATCGTATGAATAATGGATACGCGGGCTGTATCTCTTCTTCCCGATCGACGGTTCTTTTTCACGCTGCTACTAATTACCGTTTAAATCGTCAGGACCAAAGCCAGGTCCACCGAAGAATCTCACGGTGACAGAGGTCAGTAACGGTTTCCTCATCACCTGGCAGCCGCCTGTGGAACGCAATCATCTCATCCAGTACTACAACATCAAATACAAGACAGACGGACCCTGGAAAACGCTCAACAAGGGACAGATCCGACCTGAGGAAACCAGCTATTTGGGTACGTCCTTCTCGCTTTTGCAACATCTTTCCGTCGATCAACGGATAGACGTTACGAACGGGGAGCTTCAAGGTTCTTTTGTTTCATGATCACTCGATGGACACAGTGAAGAATCTGGTCGGTGGTAGGACCTACTATTTCCAAGTGCTCGCCCATTCGGCGACCAACTACGGCGCCAGCGAGCAGGTGAAGTTTCCGGTGCCAGCTCGCGTGAAGCACAAGGCGATCACCGCGGGCGTCGTCGGTGGTATACTCTTCTTCATCGTTGCCATCATCCTGAGTATATGCGCGGTGAAGATTTGCAATAAGCGGAAAAGACGAAAACAAGAGAAAGGTATGGACAGTGCTGTGCGACGGTGAGATTACGTAGAGATCCTTCGTTTGTATCATCAAGTCTGGCCTGCACCTGAGCTAGAGGTTGTGTCGTCTCTTTCTGTCGTCATTTGTTTCCTTCTTCGGAGTACTTAACACCCAACTCCATGTGATTCACACCGACGAGTATTCTGCTAGAACGAAGAAAAGAAATTTTCCCTTTTTTTTTCTTCTCTCGAAGGAGACGAGAACGACCTGGTAACGCAGGAGCTGGGCGAGCAGCTGTGAGCCTGAACGTTAATACTGACTCGACATAATCTTGTAACATTATAGAACTGCTTTCAGCGTATAGTATGGTGGCCTGCCGGGTCACCGATGCCAGGAACGGCGCAGGGCAGGGGCCCCAGGGAACAGTGCCTTTGAAAAAGTGAGTGTCTATCTCCGAAAGTTCCGTCTTCCCCACAGGTTTCGACTTGCCTAACTTTTCTCCGATCCCCTCCCCCTAAATGGGGATCTATCGAAGATTAATAACGAATCGAGGACGTAGACCGATGAGATCGTACCTGCAGCCGTGATTAATCCGAGGTTTTCCACGCTCGTTTATCGGTTGTTTTACGGAACGAAAGAGAAAAATCGGTGCAGATGCGATCTCCAAGATACATCAATCACTTAGGTTTAGCCAGAGCTAGTAATTAAGTCCACTCCACCCCCCCCTCTTACGAGCATTAGGCGACCGAAGCACCGCAAGCATTTAAGAAACCTCTCACGAGTAATCAATAGCTGACAAAATATTCGAGCTATATACCCGATTATGCATATGCATTTATATTTACCACGGATATACATATATTATATATAATATATATATCTATCGAGAGAGTATATTATTCACGATGATGTTCGTTCGATAACCATTCTTACGCTCCAAGTAAACGTGTTGCTAAAAATGTGAAGAGTGTCTGCGTTATCGAACGAGCAATATTAATCTCCGATACAACATATCTCCGAGTAAGTTGTAAGTCAAGAGAGAGAGAGACGTGGGCAAGAAGATACACATTCTTTGCCCTCGTCGTCTCTCGATCCACTTTAACGATAAACAGCGGTCACTTGCCCCCTATGTTGTCGAAGAAAGAAAAAAAAGGCAAATAAAGTAGGAGAATGTAAGCGAAGCAAACGTAGGAAAATACGTTTCGGAAAAAAAAAAAACAGAATAGTAGAGAGAAAGTAATGGTATAACCCTCTTTTGATCTTGCGCCATACATGAGAGTATACGCGAGCCACGTCTAAGATGCGTTGCGAAGCGATGAAAAACCGGCAGACTAAACCGCAGCAGCAGAGGTATTTTGGACGAGGTTGGAGAACGATCGGTTTAGAGGATGGTGAACGAGAATAAAAGAGAAAAAAAAAATAAAATAAAAAGTAGTACAATCGACGACACCCTTATGTCACGGGTCCGTCTTGTTGCGCGTGCACTGCGTTCCTCGGCCACTGTGAGCGAACAATCGAGCGATACTTTCGCGTTCTGTCTGGTCCGTGGAGCCTTGAATAGTTCCAATTCTACAGACGAAATATCTGGGGTTCGCCGAGCTATTCGACTCGCGTCAGATAGTTCTACGGTCGGAATTCTCTCCCTTGTTACGGGAATAATTTCATTTGGACGTTCTCGATGGGGGAGAGGGAGGAGGTGGGTTTCGGACGAAAACGCGGGGCACCACTCTAATCGAGCGTCTTTTTCCCCGACCGCGATCGATACGCAACCCTCCGGTCAATTCAATTGTCCCCTTGCAAGGCTGACCAACTTATCCCAACTTTCTTTTCTTACCCTTAATCTCGTTTTCTGGGACACA